CTCTAACACTTAATAGATGTGTGACCCTGGACAAGTTAATCAACCTCTCTGAGCCTCAGTTTATTCATTTGTAAAATGGAGAAAATAACTCCTATGTTATCTCTTATAGGGGTACTGTGAGGCTCACATGATATAACGTACATAAAGCAAACTTTATAAAAATATATAAACGTCAATTACCATTGAAATTTCTAAATTAAATTTGTATACCCCCCACACACATACTTTACCCTACAGTGAAATGTAAACTCCTTGGATGTTTTATTTTTTTATTCCTTGCCATTAACACATAGTAGAGGCTTATTCAATTGTTATACTGAATTAAGGTTTCATTGTTCTAAAAGTTTTGTTATATTTTCTGAACCTAGTTTTTCCAAAGTGATATCTTTGTTGCTGTCTCCCTCTGTCTTTTCCCTTCACACATGTAGCCTCAACACTGACTTCTTTCTTAACATATTGCCAATGAGTCTTATCTCCAGGTAATGATTATTTATTCTCTTGCCTCTTTTTAAAATATTATAATAGATATTAATGTCTCTGAAACCTAAATTATATTTTACCATTCTAGCCCTTAGTTAAATGTATTAATTTCAATATATATGTAATTGGGGGGAATGAGTGAATGCATTGCCTTTCTGAGTTACAGCCAATTCTCAAAGCACATAGATAATATGGGTTATTGAGTGCTGAAATAAGTCCCTAAACTTTATACTGCCAATGATTTCAGTTTTCTTTTTCTCCTAAGAGTAATTAGTGATTAACAAATATAAAAAGTGGTAGATTTTGTTTTTCTTTTTGTTTTGTTTGTTAATGTCTTTCTATTTATGTCTACCTTAGGATAAAGGTGCTAAGAATCAGGGAAATAATGACAGGTAGAAAGTGAAGGAGCCTAGATAATTTATTAACTGGTTAATTGTCCTCAATGACTAAAGGTGATTTGTGCATTCACTCTGCAGTGGTCACATGTTTCAGCTCAGTTGTGAAAGGTTCCTCAATCTCAAGACATTAGATGACAAAAGCTCATTTTGCTTAGGACTGAACATATGGTCAAGCAATGTTTATCCAGGTTTCATTTTGTTGGGATTGGCCTCTTAGTAACATGGACTTTGTTAATGCTGGAGAGAAAGGATGACTATGCTGTCTAAGTAATTATAACTACCCATTCAATGAAGAAACAGAGGATCGAAATTCAGTATTATGTTGTCACCTGTGGTGAGAAAAAATACACTCATACACACATACCCATGCACACACACACATATAATTAATGGCCAAATACAAAAATAATAAATAGCAATATTTACTGTTAATAGAAATTTATTTGTATCAGGTCGGAGGACTATAATTTTCCTTTAGATGTGGTATTTTGCCTGTGCTTGAAAAAAATTCTTTATTTACACCACTTAGAAAAAACAGGATTTGTGTTTTGTTTTTCTTTCATCCTAAAGAATGTCAGCAACTCTAATGCTGAGGTAAAATGCTGGATAAGGAGTCCTGGAGACCAAAACTCTTTAATAATGCCTATAATTATACATTTTTTCATATAATAATCATGCATCCCTTGAGTAATTAATGTCAGAATGTTAGAGTTTGAAATGACCTCAGAGACAATGTAGTCCAACCTTCTTGTTTTATACGTAAGGAAAATGAAGTAAAGAAAGAACTGACTTTCCCAAGTTACACAGGTGAAAAGTCACAGAGTTAAACGTTGTCTCTCTCAAATCTGTCACCAGTTGCATCTTTATCTCTCATACTCCCCCCTCCACCAGTACAGTACCAATACCAGTAAGTTGGATGACTTGACATTCCTTATAAATCTTTTCCTGTTTTTGTCTTTGTTCCTGAATGCAATGACTTTCATTGAATTTCTCTATGTTAAATCCTATCTGTAATTCTATCCCAAATGAAATGTCACTTTCTCCATGAAGCCTCTCCTGACCACCTCACCCCAAAATGAGCTCATCTTTCTCTGCATCCAGAAGCAACCACTGTTCCTAGTGTGGTTGATAGTTATTTCACATTATTTTCCTGTTCTAATTGAACAAATCTACTTGTTGATCCTCCTGACTTCACATAATTAATCTGCTAAAGGATGGAGAAGGATGACTGATGGTTGTGGGGGGTCTAGCTGCAAGCATAATCTGCCATTTAGCTACTCTGGCAGGGGGTGGTGGGGTGGCATGGGGTGGAACCTTGAAAGTCCTGAAATCAGGCTACTTTTTAAATGTAAGTCTTTAGGATTTTCTGCTTTGTGTGCTTTCTCACCTTTCTTCCTCTCTTTCTCTTTTCTTTTCCTGCCTTTTCCCTCCCTCCTTTCCTTCCTAATTGGCGACCTTTAGTGTCTATTTGATTTCTAGACCCTTTACTGAAATTGCTCACCAGCATATCAATTATAGTAATTGTCGTGATGATTTTCATGATTAGCACACACATCTTTTTTCTAATAACTGAACTGAAGTTATGTCAGGTGCTAACTAATTTCATTTATTGATCCTGAACAAGTAGATTTAAATAGACAGTGCTCTCATGTATTGTCCTTCTGTTGAATTCCCTCATTGACTTTCAAAGAAAAATATAAAGCATCAAAGGTTTTTGATAAATGTCATATTCAATATTTTTGAGAAAATTGTTTTTTATTTCTGCATGACAAATGCCAAGAAACTTTCCTTCACTGCTCTCACTAATGGCTTACTACTTTGGATGGAATAATTTGTCATTCTCTGTGTCCATTTTTTCTTCACAACTGACATTTCATACTGTGATGTGCATTATCCCAACCTGTCACCCTGACAGAACCATAACTAGTTTGGGGGGAATGGGACTTTGCCATAGGCTTCCAACAGTTGGGGGTGGATGGGTGGTATGTGCTTCCTTCCTGAAGCAGCACTGTTTGTGAGTCTCTCTGCTGCTGTGAATGATTACATAGCATTACTACCCTTAGGACTCTGATGCCATGAAGGCTTTTGGGCATCTCCTTCTCCCCAACCCCAGCAAGATGTGTAAGTTGAACCTTCTTAGGAATGGGTCATCTCTTCTCCCAGCATAGCTGTATCCAGAGTCAGAATTTCCTCTGCCCTTCTGGCTCCACATTAACCTAATTTGCCTTAGGCATAATTTCTCGCTCTGACTTCGCAACCTGATCCAATTTTCAGTAAGAGCTCTGAACAGAGGAGGAAGTAAGGAAATCTGGATCACTTTAGATCTTATGGTTTAAATATCTTATGCTTCTTATGAGTCAATCCTTTATTATTCGACTTTCTTATGGTACTTAAACCATACTTATAGTTACCTTTCAAAGAGATCCTATATTATCTGAGAGGCAGAATGATATAATGCAAAGAGTGCTGGATTTAGACTCAGGAAGACCTGGGTTCAAACTCTGCCACTTACATTTATGAACTGTGTAACCATGGACAAATCATATAACCTCTCAAAGCCTCAGTTTCTTCCTCTATAAAATGGGGATAATAGAACATGCACAAACTGTCGATTAATTGCAACACTCAAAATGTATTAAAACACTTTAGATACTTTAAAATGCTACATAAATGTCATTATTGTTCACAAGGAGGTACATGACAGAACTTTAGAATTAATCACAATTTTATTTTATCATAATAATGTTAATATTCTTAAGGTTGTTTTGTATTGCTCATTTCATAGATAACAAGGACTGCTTGATAGCATTAGATGTATTTTTATATACATGTGTCCTAATTTCTCAACATGCAAGTTCCTTGTGGGTATAGATTTGAATTGTATTTGAACAGAGTTGACCATACAACACTGATAAGTTTAGTCTTTGCAGACCGAATTTTGTTTGCCTCAATGCCTTTTATATGTTCCGATTAGACCAGTTTAATAAACAAACCATAGTTTGAAAAGAGAATTTGCAGTAGACACAGTATGTCCATTTGATGGTTATTAGTAATACTAGCACCACCATGTTAAGTTTACAGTGCAGAAAATAATTTATCATAGAATCATGACTATATTCATGTTCTTAGTTAATATTTTGTCTGGTTAATCAAGTCCTTTTTATTTAAGGATATATATCATGAGAGGTAACAATAGAGACTCTTTCAACCACAGTGTATCTTCATTCTGTTCATTCTCTGTATCATCACCATAGTTTAGGCCTTTATTACCTCTCTATTTTACTATTACAGTAGATGCCTAACTGATCTATCTCTAGTGCCTCTCTCTCTCTACTCCAATTTATCCTGCACAGTGCCTCTAACTTAATCTTTCTATGGCATAGTTTTATCATGCCATTTCCTTGCTCAAAACCTTACAATAACTCAACATTGCCTGCTGAATAAAATCCAAACTCCTTAGCTTAGCACCCAAGGTCCCTACCAGCTGGTCCCAACCTAACTTTCCAGATCTTTTTCACACATATATCCTTTTCTACAGTCTAACTTGATTTCCCACTGTTCCCTGAACATGATTTATGATGACAAACATCACTTGTTCTATATATCTTGTCTTCTACTAGATTGTAAGCTCTATGAGAGCAAGAGCTATGTCTTATTTATTATTATATTCCCTGGAGCCCCTAGGATAACATTCATTAGATTTCATTGGACTATTTGTTGAATTAATAAACAAATGTATAAACTTCTGGAATTGAGGGCTTATGAAATATACCTAATATTTAGTTGTACTAATTAACTTATACCTAAAAAATTTCCTCTAGCAATTTTTAAAAAGTTTTATATTTGGCTGTATACACATCATGCAAAGAAATAAAATAAAAATAAAATGATGAGGTCCTATTTGATGAAATTGGCAGCTGTGTTGAGTGAGTAGGTAATTTTTTCATGTCTTTTGGATTCTAAGTATAATTTAGAAGTAGAGGTAGGAATCTTCATTTACTACAGTAGGATGGTTAGCCTCATGAGTTAAAAAAAATGTTTAATCAGATTTCACTAAAGAAGATGTGTTACATGCTTACCAAAAGTTATTTATTAATCTTGCATTCCTTATCTGTTTTCCAGGATGGAGTAGGGGTAGATGAGAAGCTGTCTTTAAGGCGAGTAGCTGTGGTTGAAGATTTCTTTGACATTATCTATTCCATGCATGTGGAAACAGGGCCTAATGGAGAACAAATCAGAAAACATGCTGGACAGAAGAGAACGTACAAAGCAGTAAGTAAAAGAAAAAAGCATCTGAAAATATCTTGTATATATTTATAAAGGATGCATTAAGTATTTAGGACTTTATATCCATCATAATATAGGTTATGGCCAAACAATATCCACAACTTTAGTTTAGCTATATAATCTATATTTTATGTTATGTGCCTATAGAACATACATTAAGATAGTATTATATTATGTACAGATGAAACCTGCTTATATTGCCCTGACATTCCTGCAAATATATTATTTTAATTTGGAAGTTTCAACAATGACTATAACCAATACACAAAGAGCATCAGGTATCACTAGGGTACATATCATTATTGGATATTATTTATGTTTTAGACTGAAAACTTTTAATGTCTTTACAATAAAAGAATATGTGAACAACAGATTTAATATTCTCTCAATTGACCAGATAAACATATTCCATTATGAAATTATAATTTCTCTTATCTAATAACATTTCTTGGTCTATCTAGATACTTTAATTCTTTTTTTATTTAATTAAGAAATTTTGTTACGGAATTAGATTTAGCAAATTCACATCTTCTTATAAATATTTCATTGTCCTTTTCCAATAGAGGTACCACAGCATAAATCTATGTGCTTCTAATGTGAAAAAAAAATACATTCCATAGACAAAATAGTGGTTGATCCATAATTAATGAGCCTTTGTTTTCTGGCTACTGTTATCTTAATTATTTTCAGCTATATTGATATATAATATCAGCCTGGATGCATTTTTTCTTTACAGATACAGAAAAAAGTGTGAAATGTTCAAAGTTTCAAATACAGGTACTTATGTTTGAAAATTAGCTACTGAGCATAAGAAATAGCTTCTTTTCCATAACTATTTTTTGCTATATTGCTAGGGTCATATCAGATCTTTAGAGTTGCATAATAACCCTCAATATATGTTGTATTTATTCCCTTATTCCCATGGTTTTGTTTCCTGGCTGTTTCCAAACTGCATGGTATTTGGGCAGGCACTTTAGCAAGTTTTCTCACCTAATTCTGCCAAATAAAGATCATTTTTACCTCTCATCTTAGGAGATTTTCTACCATTACTAATGGTAGTTGCTCAATTCTTTTAGTATTTTGATATAAGCTAATATTCAGAACACACTAATTTTCACTTATCTTTTAAACCAGGCTTGAGTCCCTGGTCATCACTTCTAGAAAAGAGTAAATGCATTTATCTACTAATCTCACTAACTCTGCATTCTTTTATGGTATTTCACTTGCATGAAACAGATTTGTGAATTTTAAGTTTCAGTGAGACTTTTCATCAATGGAATACCAAAATACAGTATATTAAATTAAGCTAAAAACCTGTCTTTTTTTGCACAGTGGTACGTTATCCAGTATACAATATGTACTAAAAGCAATTTTTACAGGTTAGTCTTTGAAACACCTTCATTAAAGACTTTTTATTGTTGCAGTAATATGACTTAATAATATAGGCCAACATCTCTCTCTCTTTATGTAATTCTATATTAGTTTTCTTACAGGATTATATGGAGAGAATCCGATCCATAGTCCATGCAAGACATCCATTCAAATTACTTTTTTATAATATTTCATTTTGTATTAACTATGTAAGAATGTTGTTTGCATTATTTTATTGGAGAAATAACCTGAGAAGTATAAGAAGCATCTTAAGCTTGGTGTATTCCCTGATGAGAATGGATCTTGAAACCATTCCAAATTTGAATCCCTCCCAATGGTCTCCCTTTACTTCTGTGCCTTTCCCAGCATGCATTTATTCCTCCCTGTAACTAGTACTGTCTTCTTTCTGACATTGTCAAAGTTCCTATTCCTTTGCTCTCTAGTAGATTTATATTATATCCCAGTAGTGTAGGTTTTTTATTCCAAGTATCAATAATTAATTATAGAAAAATAGTCACCTGTGCAAGCAAAATAATGTGCATTCTATAAAGTGAACTGTTCATTTAATAGACAATAAAACTACATAATTTTTCATAGAGCTGTTAAGGATTGTAATGGCTCCAATCTGTTAAGTATGTTATTTTCTCTCAGAATTATTGTCATTATAAAGGACATTCATGAAGTATACTGGATAGCTAAAATTTCTTTTTAATTTCAACATTGCAACTCTTGGAACATTCTCCATTATATTCATTATTTTCTTCTCTCCTTCATTCTTCCTCCTCCTTTATTTTTCTTCCTCCTTCCAATAAAACCAAATACTCTTAATCACATGACTTATCACTAGTGTATTATCTTCATTCTTAGTATTATGGTCAACATAGTCTACATTTTTGCATATCTAGTTTATATCTTATCACTATGAAGGAAATAGTTTTTATGTTGGGTTGATATGGGGATAGTATTTAGTTTTATATAGCTATAAGATATCATTCCCTGAAATATCTAGGTGCTTCACAGATTACACATATTTCACCATGATCTGAATTTAGGTACCTGCTTTCTATTTTACATAAACTTTTCTGAAAATCCTCATAAAATGACACATTTAGGAATAAAAAAAGACTATCTGATCCTACAGGATTACATTTTCAGTCTTGTTTCATTCTGATATCTTCTTTTGTCTTTAATGTGTATGTGTGTGAGTATGTATGCTACTTATATAATGGGCAGATACACAAATGTATCCCATGTAATGCATACCAGTACAGTCAGCTCTTGATTATCTTCAGTCATGAAGGGGGAACAGTAGTGTGGATAGTCTAAAACTGCATTTAGTAACTAAAAATAAAACAAAACAAAAACACTTGTTTAGGTGCTTGGGCTGTTCTTTTGTATCTACTCTTTTGATTTTTGATGATTGAGGATTTTACTTCAAAGAAAATGGTAAAGCCATAGTACCAAAATCTATCCAAAGAAGAGCTGTGACATTTTATAAGTTCCCAGTCCTTATACTTACCAAATCTTCCCTGCCACCAACAAATGCTAGAAATAGACCCCTTTCTCTTAGCTGTCCTCAGGCTTAGTAGATCTGGTTCCTGCAAAACTTCCTCTAGAACTCAGATTGTTTAATTTTTGAGTTTGAAAGGGTACCCCTGTTCAAGGCAAAGTAAAAGTGGGCAATGGCACTAGAACAAGTAATTAAGCAGAGTTGGTGCTGTCAGAAAAGGGAGCTGTATGTATAGTTTCCCTAGCAAAGAACAAGTAACTAAGCAGATTATCTCAGGTGAAAATAATATTTGCTATTGATAAGCCACAAATATAAACAAATGTGAATGATAGATCATATATTTGCTTATGTGCAAAACTGCTGATTAGGACACTGGTTCACTAAACTAACAACCAACTACAGTGGATGGATTGGGCAGGCCCAGGAAGCAATTTAAATAGCTGTGCCAACTGCTATTACAGTTGCAGTCGTTTATGTTACCATGACTCAAAGCTTGAAAGATAAGGGTAGTGCCAAACATTAACTCCTCACTCTTAGTGTAGTCAGGCTTCTTCGGTCTCTTGGAAAAATCCCAGGTTAGCCTAATTTCTGGCCACTTTCTGTCTAAGTGGAAATTGATGTTTTCCCTGAATTGCTGAGTAGGAAAGTAGAGGTTCAAGTCTCATTGTTCCTGGAAACCTTTGCTACTTTCCAGAAGAAACTGAAGTATGTGCTGGGTTTGGCCTCTTCTCAATCTACATTAAGAACAAGGCTTTCCCTGAAGAGGCAAGAGAGAGGAAAGTGAGGGAGAATGGGTGATAAAAAAGAACATGGAAGGTGAAAATGAGGGGGAAAAAGTATATAAAAAACAGAAGGAGGAAAGTGTGGAACATGATATATTAAAACAGAGATGTAAAGAAGAAAAGCAGGAGTGTGTCTAGATGTCTTTGTGTGAAGGGTGTTTTGTAATTGTGTACATATAGTTTCTGTGTGTGTCTTGGCAAGTAGACTCCCAAGTATTTAATATTGTCTGCGGTTATTTTAAATGGAATATTTCTTTTCTGCTGGGTTTTGTTGGTAACATACAGAGATGCTGATCATTTGTATAAGTTTATTTTATATTCCATAACTTTGCTACAGTTATTGTTTTGATCAGTTTTTTAGTTGATTCTCTAGCATTTTCTAAGTATAGCATTATATCATCTGCAAAGAGTGGTAGTTTTGTTTCCTCATTGCCAATGCTTATTTCTTTAATTTCTTTTTCTTTTCCTATTGATATAGCTAACATTTTCTAGCGAAGTATTGAATAATAACATGAAAATGAAAAGCTTTACTTCACCCCTGATCTTATTGGAAAGACTTCTAGTTTATCTGCATTACAGACAATGTTTGTTCTTGGTTTTAGGCAGATATGACTTATCATTTTAAGAAAAGTTCCATTTATTCCAGTGTTTTTTGGTGCTTTTAATAGGAATGGGTGTTAAATTATGTCAAAAGTTTTTCTGCATTTATTGATGTAATCATAATTTTTGTTATTTTTTATTGATATGGTCAATTATGCTTAAAGTTTTCCTAATATTGAATCAGCTTTGCATTTCTGGTATATATCCAGCTCTGTCATAATGTTTGATCTTTGGGATATATTGCTGTAGTGTCCTTGCCAGTATTTTATTTAGAATTTTTGCATCAATATTCATTAGGGAAAATTGGTGTATAGTTTTCTTTCTTTGTTTTTGCTCTTTAGGTATCAAAAACTATATTTATGTCATAGAAGGAATTTGGTAGTACTCCTTGTTTATCTGTTTTTTCAAACAGCTTTTATAATATTGAAATTAATTATTCTTTAAATGTTTGGTAGAATTTGCTTATGAATCTATCTAGTTTTGTTTTATGTTTCTCTAGGGAGCTCATTTATGGTTTGCTCAATTTCTTTTTCTGAGATAGATTATTTAAGTGTCCTATTTCCTATTCTTTTAATCTGGGAAATATATATTTTTGTAAATATTCATCTATTTTATTTGGACTACCAGTTTTGTTGTCATATAGTTGGGCAAAATAGTTCCTAGTAATTATTTTAATTTCATTTTCATCGATTGTGTATTCATTCTTCATTTTTGATACTGGT